GGATGTACGGTACAGCAGCATATGTGAATATATAAAAATAAAAAAATTGGAATAAATATTTGGTATTCATTCATTTGTGTGTATGATTCACATATGAGAAACTCAATTCCATACTAAACACATTTTTTAAACACCCATCCATCTACTAAAGAAGAAAATAATTTATATAATCAGCTATTACAAGAACATTCTCTTATCACTGATGCCCAATATAAATAAAATTATAGGATTGTGTACAACTCATATTCGGGAAAAGTCAATACAGAACATTTTTGGAACTCATGCAGCATCAGTTGGCACCTCCTTTAACCAAACGCATCCTTTCCATGGTTCACATGACAGGCCTTCCACAGCAGCAGTGGAATTGTAAGATTTGGGGATATATTCATTCATTCATTCATTCATTCATTCATTCATTCAATCAATCAGCGAAATACTTTGTTCAAGGAGGTGCTGGCAGGTGCTCCATGCATTTCTATGCACTCTCCACATCTTCTTTTACTCTTCAAATTTGGATTGCTGCACAGTGCTATTAAATTATTGAAACTTGAAAATGTCAAGTTTTTACTCAACTTCTTTGTTTCAGAGAAAAGTAGCCAGTCTATAATCTTGAATAAATCACTATTTGGATAGGAAAGGATGCTTAATCCTTCCCCTTGGTTTATTTCTTCTCTGCCTATAAATTGTTTTAAACTTTGCACAAAAGAAAAAAAAAAGTCAAGATGAAAAGGCTTAAGCAACAGTTCCTCCTACTAGTTTCAAAAGTCTACTTTGCACTTAAGAAAATGAAAATAAATTAGGCGAATTTTGGTTCTTAGTTCAACACAAGTTTAATTATTAGCTCACTGTTTAAATTCTGAAGAGTATTTCTTTGGCAGCAGCTTCACAAGAAGCTGAAATAGAGCTACACTGTGGTTTCCAAATGACTTATTTAGTAGATGTTAAGTTACTTTCCACAGGAGAAATGCAGCTGTTGAAATGCCAAAGGAAAGCCTATAACCAAATGCTAATAAGCTTTCTTGTTATCTATAGACTTCAGTATTTCTTCATTGTTCTGCAGCCCAGTGCAGATCTCCTTACTGCACTGAAACTCCAAGGAGAAAGGCTTCAATCCAATGCACGTTTATCTGGGAGCATATACATGTACAAGACTGCAATACTGCTACTTAACACAATAGACAGCATTTCTGACTTACAATGGGCACCGCCCCAGTCAGTAGGAAATCATCTTCAGAAGCTAAATCTGTCTGTGGAGTCTATAAAGAAGTCTATGGAGCAATCCATTTCACAACAGTGCCTTGATTCAAAAAAGTGAGGAACCGTCTCAGTACCTCCAATCCATGACCCTTTGCTTTGCAGAAGTACTAGAAGGACTGAGTTCTCTGCACGCAATGGAAAATCAGCAAAATGGATCAAAAGAGCCATGTTTATGAGTCTTGACATAGGGCAGCCCTGAAGGGGCACTTCGATCAGAGTACCCTTGAAGACTTTGCTTAATGGAAAGTAATTCTAAAATATATAATGATTTATGACCTGAGAGCTCTGGATTTTCTATTTAAAAAAAAAAAATCAATCAAAAATTAGAAGCTCAGAACAAAACATGGCATTCAACTCTGGCTTGTTTGGGGAAAATAAGTTAGAATTCCTAGATCAAACATCTTGGTAAAAAAAAAAGAAGAAGAAGAAGAAAGAAATAACTTCTCAAGTTATATATCTCCTACTGATAAGAGAAGCCAAACTGGAGCACATAAGCAGTCATGTACAGTATTCTAGCTGCCTACTTCACTTTTCATACAAACAAAAAAATCAACTGTTTTGCAATAGTAGTAAAATTCCAGGCAGCTCAAACCGTGACTACAAATAATCAAAATATGATTCTCCTACACCATTATGAGGAGACCAACATAATTCAATATGGCTCTTCTAGTGTATGAATAAAGTTGCAATTAAGAAGCCCATATTCTTTTACATTCTGTAAACAGTGGAAACTTTATGGCCTCGCTCACAAGCTAATAGCTGTTATAAATGGAAGCCTCTTAAGCAGAACCTCACAGCTCCCCAATAACAATTTTTTCTAGCCAATGTTATCACATTGGGTGATTGCAATACCAGGTGCAGCTTCAAACAGGGCGCCCTTTGTGAAAAGTTTATCTTCAGTACATAGTCAAGTGACCTGCAGTCCGAGGCTTTCATAACAAGGAAACATTCCAGAGCTTGTGAATTTGAAGGAGGTGTTCTCTTCATGGAAGTGCTTTTGTTCAGTGGCAAAGGTGTGGGGGAGGAAAGCATGGATAAAATGTAAGCTTATCTCCAAGTGGGCACCCAAAATAAATGGCATGTGGCAAGTGCTCGTCCCTAGTTCCCTTTTCAGTATTTTCTTTCCAGACATCCCACTAGCTAGCACTTCTGTAATGTTCTGAATATCCAAAGCATTTCATGTACATTATCTCAACCATAGTTTACATAAACTTTGTTAAAGGTAGCTCAGCATTATCCCTATATTGCAGTTCATGGCTGCAATACAGTGTTTTAGCTAAGGTTGTCCAGAGATCTAAATTGAACAATGAGGGTTGAAAGCTTACCAGGGTATTCTAAGCCAGAGACGTTTCTTAACGATGTTCTACAGTAATTTAAGACTCATGCTTTACACAGGTTGACTCTGCTTTAAAGTGAATTTGATACATCCTTTAGAGCAGGGCTCCCCAAACTCTTCAGCTCATTGACCCCTTCATGAAATTTTAGATTGTTCATTGACCTCCAAACATTTATTATATGACCAAAAGAAGCCAGTATCTGTAGGTTGAACTGTGGAGTCCTTGGAGTTCTCTGAGCCTGGATGTTTTCTTGCAAGCGTTTCGTTACCCGGCTAGGCGACATCTTCAGTGCTAGAATGGAAGGGGGTTGATGTTGTTATTCTTATTATTAGCACTGGTTAAAGTAGTATTTATGAAATTATTTTCATATAATAATTTATATAATAAAATTATTATATGAAAATAATTTAATAAATACTGCTTTAACTACTACTACTACAACTACTACTACTACTAAGAATAACAACATCATCATCAACCCCCTTGGATAGTCCCATCAACCCTGGCAGTCGATACTGACCACTTCGGGGAACCCTGCTTTAGAGTTTATAAGTAGACCCCAGTGCTCTCAGCAGAGATTATGCCCTGGTTGTGTTTGCATTATTTTACTTGTGGTTAAGCATGCAGTTTAAACTAAATCTAGTCTGGATGCATAAAACTTAGATCATATTGACTTTACCTCTAAGGTCAAGCCAGAGCAAGCACTGAGACTTCTGTTTTTAGATCTCCAGTATGGCTTTTTCCCCCTTAAATAGTAAAAAGAAAAGGGATAATTCCCCCCCCCCTTTATCCAATTAAAATGCCCTCTTCCAAAACTGCTCTTTGCTCTGCTGATTAGAACATAATAGTGGTGTACAAAGTCTTTTCCATTTTGAATTCAAAATACCCCTCTCTGAATGCAAAGCAGCTGTTTCACATTCAAAATGGGTGGTTTCAATCATTCTGGGAGTGTTCCGAGATCGAGACAATTCTGTTTAGAGAGGGAGGGAAAAAAACATTTACAAATGATCAAAACAGTCCATTTCAGATGCGAAACAATTGTTTCAACCTCAAAAAGAGCCATTTTAAGCTGAAAACCGTTTTCAAAATGTTTTGAATTGAAGATGTTTTGTACATACCTGTAACACAGAACATGATTTCTTGCATTTCACTCAGTGGAACAGCTAGCAGCGTCAGCATATTTCACTTGGAAAATTTCATAGGAAGAAAGGTTATCTTCCTCCCCTCACCCCCAAACCTGGCCATCACCATCACCCCCTCATTATTGGAAAGACCATAATTATGATTCCCTTCCATCATGATGATTCTCTCACTGTTGCTAGTATTCTAGAGTTTGGAGATGAAAAACTAAAGGAAAATGTAAATGTGAAGTCACGAACCTGAAAACAAGCACAATATGACCACAGAAATCTATAGCATAGACATCTATAGCACAGAAGTCAAAGAAAGATGTTTTAACTTATTGATTCCATGTTCATACATACATGAGTGAATATAAAGAAGCTGAAATTTTCTATTAGTAGTAGTAGTAATCTACAATTAAGTTCACAGTCACAATTATTATTGTTGCTGTTGTTATTATATTTTTATCCTGACTTTTTAAAAAATATTTGGTCAACTTAAGGCAGCAATCATACCTAATCCTCCTTCCTCCTCCTATCTTCCCCACAACAACCCTGTGAGGTGGGTTGGGCTGTGAGAGTGTGACTGGCCCAAAATCACCCAGCCAGCTTTCATGCCTAAGAGAGGCCTAGAACTCACAATCTCCTGGTTCCTAGGCCAGTACCTTAACCACTACACCAAACTGGCTTTCTAGTTTTTATTATTGGGTTAGATTAAATTAGATTAGAATTAGATTAATTAGATTTCACCATACTGAAATTTATAATAACCTGCTTTTAT